CCTTTAACAGGGGGATGATGTGACAACCCGAAATTTCTATCTTGTACAACCAGTCAATTCAATTCAATCAAAGTCAGACTCATTTCCGCTATCTTTTAGCATTGTTTAGAGTCTGTTTAAGTGTTCTAATCCTAGTGCAATCAAGGTTTGAGTTTAGGGATGAGATATCCAAAGTCATAGAGTTGCATTTCGGGCCAAACACTCCTTCAGGAGGAATATACGGCCGTACACATGGGTGTACGGCCGTACACCCCCTCATGGCCGTACACTCTCACCTATAAAGGTGATACTTAGTCATCATTCAACACTTTTCACCCCTCCAAGCCAAGAAATCGGGTTTTCTCTCTCTCTCTAGCTTCATCAAGTTTCTCACCTAGATCCCCAAAGATGTAAGTGTTTCCTACCTTAATATGCTACTACATAGCTTTAACTAGAGATGCATCAATGTTTCATTCCATAAATTTCATCTTTTGTTAGATCTTCATCTTTCACCAAGAACACACACTAGTTCTTGGTGGCCATAAACCCTCAATCAAGCTTCCAAATTGTGAGTAACTGCTTCCTATACTTGTTATCTACTAGAAACACTTGTTGTTCATCTTAAAATCGACAATCCTAGCAAGAACATGAAGGTGTACGGCCGTAGACCCGTGTACGGCCTTACACACCTCATGGGACCGTATACCCTCTTTGATGCTCATTATTGGCCTTAAAATTGCATTAAAACTAAGCATGGGACCTAGAACACTCCCTTGATGCTATTTAGGACCTTAAAAACACCTCAAATGCACACTTCTTCATGAGTGTACGACCGTACACCCTTGTATGGTCGTACACACCTCAAAACACCCCAAAAGGTCCTCCAAAGTGAGAACCCTAGTTCATATCCTTGATGAGCAACCGACCCACTAGCTTCCCCATTGTTCAAAGACACTCTTTAGCATGTTTTACCATGAGTGTATGGCCGTACACCCATGGCAGTACACACCTAAGTGTGGCCGTAAACCTCCCTCATTCAATCACATGTGATTTTAACACTTAGTTTTAAGTGTTTCCAAGTCCCTAGGGTGATTCCCTATCATAACTAGTTGCGTTATACACTAATTTGATACAAATATATGTCATTATATGCTAAATAGGATCCGTGTATACTCGAGTCTTCACTCAACACTTAGCTTCCTACGACCAATCTTAAGTACACATCACTCGCAGCAGGTGAGTTCATACCCCTACATTTTTCCGAGTTTTTTATGTTTTCAGGGGGGGGGGGGGAATACAAGCCAAACATAAATGATTTTATGAAATTTATACAAAAGGATTTCAATAAACTTAAAACGGATGCAATCAATACAAACATACAGTTTCTATGTTTTTTTATTAAAATATTTTAGATATTTTATCCCTTATGTATTATGCTGAGCATAAGGGACGTTTTCAACTTACAAGTTTAACCACATAGTTTTCAGATCAATACATGATTATACATATACAAACACACAAACTATAATAGGTATAGTTTGGGAATTCATACAAGGCTATACAAACACACAAACTATAATAGGTATAGTTTGGGAATTCATAGAAGGTTATACAAACACACAAACTATCATAGGTATAGTTTGGGAATTCATACACGGTTATACATATACGAACACACAAACTATAGTAAGTATAGTTTGGGAATTCAATACATGGTTTACATATACATACACACATCTTTTATAAACCTCTACGTTATTTATAAAAAGGTTTTCTCGTATTATTACTTGTAATGTCGTTAATCTAGCTTGAGAGACACGTCTTTGGGTACAATTTCATGTACTAGTGGAAGACTACCCCTTATGATCCAGAGTCTCCTCAAAGGAGAGCGTGATTTTTGTGTATAGATCTATACGGGACTGACTATCCAGCACCTTGCTGCTAGCTACAGTAGGACCGCCAGGTCTACTGGTGACAAAGTCATAAAGGATACTGGTGCCCGATTCGCACCATATCAAGTTTAGTATGGTCATAAAACTCGCAAATAGATAACAACGGTTTACTTATGTAGTAATATACTATACATGAACAATGATTATTTAGCATAATTATGGAAAATACATGGTTTCTTTATGAGAAATAAAACTATCGTACATACTAGTAGTAACTAGGTTTTTCAAACAGAACATTCCACACAGAGGTTTTTCATACAGAATTCATCATACAATACATCTAGTAGTAACCAAACATACAAACTAATATGTTTTATATACTACAACCAGATATAATAACAAACATTCATAGTTAGTTCTATAACTCTTTAGTTTATGCATCAGTGTTACGTATGAAGAATACTCGATAGACTGTGGGATATGTGATTTTCGCCTCATTTCCTGTTCCTTGTTTGGTTGTGGACTTAGGGCAGATCCACATAGTCGACTTTCCGTTCAATATTGGTTTATACGTGGCTAGCATGAACTAAGTGGTTATAGATGGAACTGATAATATCTCACTTTAACTAAAGAAAATATTGGATTTTCTTGGAAACATACAAACATTTTTACTGATTCATTAACAAGTTGTTATTACAAAAAGATACTTATGAACTCACCAGCTTTATGCTGATACTCTTTTTCAAAACTGCTTGTATTCTCAGAAAATCATTAGACAGGTACATCGACAGACTTTTGAGAAGACGGAGCGTATAGAGTCTCGTCTTTCACTTTTGTTACACTTTTGGATGTATAAAAATATGAAGCAAACTGATGTAAACACTTATTATATACATTCAATGTAATGGTTGTGTTTACTTTGATTACTATGATTCAATTGTTGTGATAGTATACATGAAGTCATCTGCCTTCGAACGTTTCCGCCGTTCCGGTTTGGGGGTGTGACAGTTCTCACCCGATCCACTCTCAAATACCGTGTTTTCAGCCCATCCCATACTTTCTTTGGGTCGGTGTAACTCGCCATGCAACACCATGTCTTCGGGTATCGCTTGAAACAAAAAGGCAAGAGCTTGTTTTGATTTCTTTTGATCCCATGCTTCACCTAACGCATTTGGTTCGATCGTCTCCCATATGTCGTGTGCATCCATAATCGACTTGACTTTGACCGCCCACACCGGATAATTCGTTGGAGTCAAAACCGGAACTTGATATGTCATTGAACCTTCTTTCATCGCCATTCTTCCTTTTTATAACTTCAACCCTATTCCGATCAAACTTGTTCAAAGAGATCTATTCCACCGACCAAGAAAACAAGCAACCTGCTCTACTGTCTTCTTGCACCTGCAAAACGAACCAAATCCAATGCCACATGCTTTTGACGGATCTCTTCCGTTCGTTTATTCCGCGCCTCCCCGGTTAGTCTCTTTCACCCGAACAAGCCTCCGATCAAAGGATGAAGCCTACACCCCCCTTTACTCGAACCAACCCTCTTCAACCTTCGCTCTGATACCAAGTGTAATACCAAGGGTAATCACACAACGAAAGTTACTTGCTGTCAAAGCTTTATTAATAAGCTAAACTAAGTTCTGAATACAATTAAGAAAAAGACATGTCCTATATTTATACTAATTAAAATAGTATCCTACTCAAACTCTAAATCTAAAAGATGAACTCAGTAAAATAGAAACCTTATCAAACTCTAAAACAATCAAACAAAACTTAAATATATAATTTTCCTAAAATGCCCCTACACTCATAAATCCGATTAATCCAACAAACTAAACTTTCTTTAGATACAAACACTAAGCAGTAGGCACATGTATCAAATCAATTGAACAACTCTCTTCACCCTCCCATTTTATATATATATATATATATATATATATATATATATATATATATATATATATATATATTGCAGGCTTTATAAGCATAGACTAAGTATCCGATGATAACTTCATAGACAGTGGCGAGATCCATAACATATTATCCATATACAACTCGTTCGATGTGGATACTCAACTTACCACCCTCACAAGTTTTCCACAAAATGCAAGAAACTGCTACACCCTAGAACCAACCCAAGGAAAGGGTAATAGGTATTTGATAAGGGCAAGGTTTATGTACGGGAATTATGACTTTAAGGGCCAACTTCCAGAATTCGATATCTATCTTGGACCTGATTACTGGGATACAGTAACATTTAACTCATCATCTAATCCAGTAAACATGGAGATCATATATGTATCATCATCAGATTACATATATGTTTGTCTAGTAAATACAGGTCGTGGAACACCTTTTGTATCAGTGATAGAACTACGGCTTCTTGCAGGCGATATGTATAAAGAAACTGATTTTGGATCATTATACCTTTTTGCACGCGTAAATTTTGGAAGTGTGTTTGGAACCATCAGGTCAACCTTTTAAATTTTCTTACAACTAACCTAATTAATTAACCTTTTCTGTCATCACTTGAATAGTTATCTTTTCTTGATTATTAACTTAGGTATAAAGATGACACATATGATCGACTATGGAGTTCAATTAATTGGCCAAATAGTACTTTATTATACACTTTGGATGAAGTTTCTTCATTTCTTTTCACAACCATTGATCCACCATCAGCGGTTTAAAAGGAAACAATTTTGTTGGGCCAGTCCCAGAACAGCTGTTATCAAAGTCAAACAAGGGATTATTGTCATTGAGGTTTGCTACTTTCTTTCTGGATCATTTGAAAAGAAATATGATTCAATTCATTGCTTCAGTAATTAACACTTAATTAATACCACAAAATTAGTTTTGATGGAGAGAGTACAGGTGACACTATAAGTTCTTGCGACCCGAATCATTGTAAAAACCCTAAGGATAACAAAATCATTGTTCCAGTAATAACAGCAACGGTTGCTTCAATCTTTGTGATCTTGACAGCAATCACGGCCATATGGGTGATTACAAAACGAAGAGAACATGGTATGAGAATCACTAGTCTTTAATGTAATAACCATGTAAGGAACACCTTAGTCAGCACACAGACATACACGAAAATATCAATAACTGGAAGATTGCATGCAGACAATAAGAAAACAACAGTACACATACTCAGAGTTGCAGAGCATCACGGACAACTTCAAGGTTTTTATTGGTAAGGGGGGATTTGGAACTGTTTACCATGGATCTATCGATGATACAGAAGTTGCTGTGAAGATGCTTTCAGAATCATCACTACAAGGGGACAAGGAATTCCAGGCCGAGGTAACTTCTGTTCCTGCAGTAAGGACCTGTCATATTATATAACTAGTTAACTACAAACAAGAAAATATGTGCAATGAAATTTTTACATGCAGGCGCATATCTTCTACTGGGTGCTCATAAAAACTTAACTTCCGTCGTTGGGTACTGCAATCAGGGAAACCATAAGGGAATCATTTACGAGTACATGATGGAAATTTAGAGAGGCATCTATTTGGTATTTGTCTTCACTAACATTTTGTTCTTTAAGTTAGACATGTGTATATTTTTCTCTATACACTACTTTATAACTTTGACATGGATTAAAAGCTAATCTATACTTCTGATTTCTATGTGATGTACGTAAGATATTACGTACAAACATATGTGACTAAGTATTAATTAATATTTCAAATCACATGAGCAGATACGAGTTCAAGTGTCTTGAATTGGGAAGAAAGATTACAAATAGGATGCGATGCAGCACATGGTCCGTAATACTATTGCAAATTCAACTTGCTTATATTTTTGTCTTCTATAATAACGAAGATTTTTAACGATATGGAGTTCTCATTTCAGGACTGGATTACCTGCATCATGGTTGCAAACCACCGATAGTCCATAGAGATGTCAAGTGTACCAACATCTTGCTCAATGGAAATTTTCAAGCAAAAATAGCTGACTTTGGGTTGTCCAAAGTTTTTCCAACAGAAGTTGGCACCCACATATATTTCAACAGCAGTTGCTGGCACTCCTGGTTACCTGGAACCTGAGTGAGTTTTTCTAAAAATATATGTAAAACTTATATTTAACCAAAAAGAAACAATCAATTTAAGAAACAGATGTGACAGTGACAAACACTTTTTAATTCTAGATACTTCAAGTAGCATAAATTTATGCAAACCTTTTGATTTGAAAAACATTGAAATTTCCTCTGTGTCTTTGTTATTCATGGATATTTTTGTATACATAAAATATGAATTATGCCATGCAGGTATTACACGTCAATCAGGTTGACCGAGAAAAGTGATGTTTATAGCTTTGGAATTATGCTTCTTAATCACAGGACAACCATATATGAAGAGAACAACATAAACATAAGTAGATGGGTGAATCTAAAGCTGGAAGGTGGGAAAATGAAAAACATTGTTGATCCTAGGTTACTTGGGGATTTTGATATCAATTCAGCTTGGAAGGCAGTGGAACTTGCAATGGCATGTGTGGTCCGCACGCCCCGCAGAAGACCAGCCATGAATGAAGTGGTGATTGAGTTAATTGACTGTTTGGTAATGGAAAGAGCTCGTCAGGAGACAAAAACAATGCAATTAAGTGGACTCGGTTCTCTTAATCAACAAATTATATATGATCCGAACCCAAGATAATGAATTCAAAATACATTTTCAGTTTATATTTGTCTAAGCTTTATCTGGTTGTGGTGGTTGTTTGTTTTAAATAAGAGAAATTAAATATCCTCCTACTCACATTAAATTGTGACAATAAATGGATTAAAATATTATCAAATTCATTAAAATTAGTTATTAAATATGACACATGTCAACATTTGATATAGTAGGAAGTAAATAAGAATAAAATGTAGGATGATGTTTAATTTCTCTTTAATAATTTTCCTTCTAAAATGAGATATAAGAGTGCACAATCTTAGCTCCTTCGTGCTTAAGTTGAGTGTAATAAGTGTATTACAACTATTGTACACCTTGAAATCTTTCTTTTCTTGTAGTTGGTCTGTATTTTCCTTAAAAAATTTCATAAATAGGCATGTAAAGATTTCACAATATAAAAGTTGTGGAACCCATTGTGTGGTTTAAGGATCTTTTCATATTCATTCAAAAATAGTGTAGAGTTTCGTATCGACTAATGGAGTTCTAGTGGTTCACATGCATGTATGTATGTGTGAAATGTATATTTGTTGGTAATGTTGTTGATTTAGTGTCACCGGCCATTGAAATGTAATTAGAATTAATACGTTGCTAAAACGGATAATTAACTGTTTCTAATATTAGTTAGATGGCGTGGAATTCACAAGTATATAAGATCGGTTTGATATGGAACAACAGATGAAGGTGGTAAAATTGATAATTTCGTCAATTTTGGAAATTGAATCAAATTGTATATGGAAAATGTGATTTAATGGGCACCTTATGGTAAACTAGTGGTTTCGTCTGTTTTGAAAACCATTGAGTGATTGTGGTAAACTAGTGGTTTCGTCTGTTTTGAAAACCATTGAGTGATTGTGTTATAAACCATTAAATGGTTACAATTAATTAAATTGCAACCTCCATTTTGTATAGCTATATATAGCTTATCTAAGGGAAGGAGAAAATATGATTTTCTCTCTCTCTCTCTCTCTCTCTCTCTCTCTCTCTCTCTCTCTCTCTCTCTCTCTCTCTCTCTCTCTCTCTCTCTCTCTCTCTCTCTCTGAATATTTATAGTTTTCTTTAGTAATTTGGTTTTTGTTTATGTGCCTAGAATCGAAGGTGTCATTGTGGATTATCTTACATTGTTTTTCGTGATACTCAAACATAGGGTCGAAATATCAATTCGAAAAATGAACTTACATGGTCCACAAGCAATTTGGATCTACATACCACCATTACCTTGTTCGCTTGTGTATACCTTTTCCAACGATTGATATTTGCTATATATTGGTGGTCACGACTTTGAGATAGGACTATGAAGATCTACAAAATGGAAAAGTTTGAAGGAAATGACTTCAGGCATTGGCAGAAGAAGATGCACTTCCAGTTGACTACATTGAAGGTGGTGTATGTGTTGAGTACCCCCATTATATAGCGCAGTTGGTTGGAGACGAGAAATTGGAGCAAACCAGAAGGGGTACTAAGTGGGAGAATAATGACTATATTTGTAGAGGTCATATTTTTAACGGTACATGTAATTATCTATTCGATATCTACCAAACTGTTGAAAGTGCGAAAGAATTATAGGACACTCTTGAATGAAAATACATCGTTGAAAATGTTCTAGCAAGAAGTTTTTAATTAGAGATTTTAATAATTATAAGATGATTGATTTAAGGTCTATAATGGAACAACATGGATATAATGAATCCATTGTTGTGTCGAATGTGATTAATAAATTACCCCCATCCTAGAAAGATTTCAAGCATAACCTAAAATATCAGTAGGAGGAAATGTTATTGGTTCAACTCGGTAGTCATTTTCGCATTCAAGAATCTTTTCAGCCACAAGAAAATAATAAAAATAAAGGTAAAATTGAATCTGCACATGTAGTTTAGGCCTTTAATTAACATTTATTATTATTATTATTATTATTATTATTATTATTATATATATATATATATATATATATATATATATATATATATATATATTGACTTCCAATGAATTTACAACCTAATATTATTCTTAAATTCACTATAATATTAGTTAATCTAAATATTTGAACCTTAGCTTTTAGTTCAAAACTCCATGTAATACCTCGTAATACCTCATGCATCATAATAACTATTAAAAAAAACTCATGCTTTGCAATGAGACTGCTTTTTTTTTTTTGCTAAACTTTAAAAAGAAGTAAAAGAAAAGTAGGATGTTGTAATTCGTTGAGTCTGAAAGTACGATGCTTATAAACAAAATAAAGTAGAAGTAAATGTTGTAATCATTAGCATTTTATATTAGGTGGAAATAGATGAAAGTACAATGCTATCATCCAAGACATATTGCTATTATCGATAAAACAAAGTGCAAGAATGTTGCTATTATAGAAATAATAAGTATATTTCCTATATTGGTAAAAAGAATAAAATATGACAAATTTAGCCTCCAACATATTACCAATCTTGAAACTAATTCATTCTCATCTTAAGCATTTCCATCTTTCTTCTTTGGACAGACCTGTTTCTTTTTTTTTTTTAAAGTACCTCTGACCTATGTTATTTTACAACAAAAAAAATGTTGAAAACCGTAAAAGTCATACAAAAATAAATTTTAATTACACTTTAATGTAGTATCAACCAACACGACTGCCATCTGCTACTCATGTCATGTTCATTGAAAATGACAGCCATACTATGATGCTCGTATAAGAAATTATAGAAATAAACTACCAAATACTACATCCAAAACAGTAAATTAGCCTAATAATAAAATTTAGTAAGGGGTCACCATGGTTGTAACAACCCAAAATTTAGAAAGATTGGCTTTTAATTAAATATTGACCAAAAAGAGAAATTTGGTCACTTATTAGAAAAAAATATGAGAATATGAAGTTATACCATAATGAAGTCGGCCAAGACAATTTTAAGTCACAATAAAAGCTTAAATGAGTGAGTTCTAGAGAAAGAATGCATGAGAAATGCATTTTTGGCTAAAAGGGTAAAATTGATATTTTTATGTTTTTTAGGCCAACTTCGTGACTTAATGTATTACTACATGTATTAATTCAATGAGATATGACTTAAAAAACATGTATTTCCACCTTCGTGTGGATATAAAGATCATCGAAAACGGAGAAGAAACGAAGAAGTTATGTGTGTTTGAAGTTGAGACAAAAATGCCCCAAAGCTGGAATGGAATCAACAATGTACTTTGATGATTCCCAGTGTCACACCCCCGAACCAGACGACGGAAACGTCCGGGGGCTAGTGTGACTAACAATTCAATAATCATCACAATGAATATACATGAATCATAACACAATCATCACCAACATTACATAACACAGCTAGCATTGTTCACATCAAGTACATTGTTAAAATACATAAGTTCAAATTGTTAAAAGTGTGATAAGTGCTATTACATAAAACGAAACCATACACACTTGCATATCTTCCAGCTTAACGATTACCTGAGAATGCAAGCTATTTTGAAAACGGTCAACATATATAATGTTGGTGAGTTCATGAGTATATTTGAGTAAAAGTCTTTGTATCTTTCATAAAAACCCAGAAAATCCGATATTTTTCTGTAAAATGTTTTGAAAATGATGTGAAAATCGAGTATAAATGCATGTATGAATTTAATAGATAAAACATGTAAGAGTGTAGTTTAGCTTTATTGTATTTTGAATAAATGATAATTGTATATGTATGTTACACCCCAAAACCGGAATGGCGGAAACGTTCTGGGGTGGAGGACGTCATGCGTAGTATCACAACAGTTGTATCATAGTAAGCGAAGTAAACACAACCATTACATTATAATAAGAATATTTACATTGTTTGAAAGCATGGTTTATACATAACAACATATAACAAAAGTAAAAGACGTGATTCCAAAATGCTCCGTCTTCTCCACAAGTTGGCAAGAGTACCTGTCTATTGTTGCCCTGAGAATACAAGCAGTTTTAAAATATCAGCATAAAGCTGGTGAGTTCATAAGCGTTTAGTTCTGGTGAAAGAAATGTTTCTTTGATCCTTTAAAAAGTGTTTCCCAAGAAAATCCTATATTTTCTTATGAAAGATGTTTGATTATCCATTCATTGTTTGTTAGACGGCTCGTTTGTGAAAGGTTATGTTATCCCAGGAAAATCCTATATTTTCCTTAAAAGTTGTAAGTTGGTTATCAGTTCTGGTATGAGGTGTACAAGTATCTACCATACTTGTATCGTTAGATGTAGTTTCCTTGAAAAACCTTGTTTGTTCTCTGTGAGATGTGTTAGTCTTATTAAATAAATAAAACTAATAAGTAGGTAGTGAACTAGATCCTAAGGGTATTATCAATACCCTCTAGTAATCAAATCGGTTATTACTTTGAGGTTAGTTCACTTGATTCATTATCACCAAAGTAAATCTCTGTTATCAAGGTTGCAAGTTTTATAACCATACATTAAACTGGATATGGCACGTAACGAGGCCAATATCTTTTATGACTTTGTCACCCCAGGCATGGCTGCCTAACTGTAGCTAGCAGTTTAGGTGCGGGATAGTCAGTCCCGTATAGATCTATACACAATAGTCACGTTCTCCCTCCAAGAGATTATGGTTACAAGGGTTAGTCCTACACTCACGAATCCGGTGGAGTGTTACCAAGGACGTGTCTCCAACTTAAAATAACAAACTTACAGTAATAATATAGAAAATCCTGTTTCTGTTTTGTATGAATCCTTTTCAAAATATCACATTTTATGACAAGATTCACAAGTTCCTTGCTTTAGTTTTTAAAACTGTTTCTACGAGTTGATTTCTTAATCGTTTGTAAAACTGTTTTCTGTGTTAAAAGCATATTGAACATATAATTATTTTAAACAAAATAATATACTTGAGCACAAGTTTCCTTGTACTTTTGCTTGTATTCCCCCCTGAAAACATGAAAAACTCGGGAAAAGTGTAGGGGTATGAACTCACCGTTTGACGTAGGATCTGGGTGTATGATCGGTTATGAATGTT